TTTATTTTCTGTGGGTTGTGCATTATTGTACATTGTGGTGCGCTAAAATGCATGTATTGGGGCGCCATTAGGAATGAATGGCACTGCAACATGTAACACACATGCTAACATGCACATTCCCACAGCCCACAGGTGTGAACCAATAATTTTAGGCAAGAAGTCTATTATATTTTTGGTGTTGGCAATATCCTATCAAGTTTACAAAAACAGTGCTGAAAACAAATGAACGGACCTGTTTTGCTTTCTAATTTGTTCTAGATGAAACTAGCGCCCAATTAATTGCAGTGTTCTGACTCTGTTTTCAATCACAAATTAGCCCCACTGGGTAAAAAAAGAAAAACATCTTCCGAAGTGTTCAGATTTTCATTCTGATATGGTAATTTTGCCACTAGATAACAGTATTCTCTTGCTTTCTCTAGGGTGTAATGTTGACAAGGTTCTCTTTGCACACTTACACCTAGTGTTTTTAACTTTTTTTTAAAGACGGAGTGTGAGTACTACCCAAATGTACTTGTATGAAAGTTTAAAGCAATAACTTTTTAACCTGGGAAATCAATTTGTTTTATGATTCCTAGTAAAAACCTTTCTTTTTATTTCTCATAAGAATGCAAGCATTTATGTCAATCACTCCTAGGAAATATTAATAAGTGCTCATTACTCAAAAAAACTGACTTCTAGCGTTCAGTACAGATAATGGCTTCTGGCCAGAAAGGCAAGATACCTATTAACATTTTGCTGTATTGATTGAAACATTGAGAACAATTTCCCATCTTCTCATAGGATATTGTGCTATGTTGGATACCACTTATCTTTTCAGAAGACTGTACCTAAATTATTTCCCTAAATGCTGATCTTTTTATAGCACAACCTATGGCAAAGAAGGCAATATCCAAAACTCACTGTAGATTTGTGGAGCTATTCACATGCTACATATCCATTTGGTTTTTAACAATTTGTCCTGATTCTGTCAGATATGTACAACTCCAATACCTACTGGGCCCAGCTAAATTTTTAATTTCTGTTCAAAACAGAAACTGGGCACGTTTACCCCTTTTTTACCCAGGCCAATTTTCAGCTTTCAGCGCTGTTGCACTTTAAATGACAATTGTGTGGTTATGCAACACTGTACCCATATGAAATCTTTATTATTTTTTTCACACAAATAGAACTTTCTTTAGACAAATAAACTCTTTAAAAATCATACAATGTGATTTCCTGATTTTTTTTTTAAATTCTGTCTCTCAGAGTGGGAATGCACCTACAATGTGAATTCCAGACCCCTCCATGATTTCTAAGTGGGAGAACTTGCAAAATCGCAGGGTGTTCAAATACTTCTGTTCCTCACTGTATGTGTATATATATATATATATATATATATATATATATATATATATATATATATATATATATATACACACACACACATGCCTTGCATTTCTATTTTAAACTGAATGGGTCATTTTACAATGTGGGTGTTCACATATACATTAACGTTGCAAAAAGCTCTCTTTTAACTGGTTTTGTGCCGCCCTATACTGCTACAGAGCGGCACAGGTGATTTTGCAGTTCCGGGTAGGGGGCACGCACACCCTACCCACCGCCATTTGCAGCCACGGCTGTCAATCACCGAGTTCTGGCAAGTGATTACTCGCCGGCACCCGGTGATTGCCAAGAATCTCTGAACGGAGAGAGAGCTGTGTATTAACAACATAGATTTCTCCCCTGTCAGCTCCTGAACACTGCTTTGTATGGCTCTGCATACCAAAACCATACAAAGCAGTGTGCTTACAGTGAAGAACACACACAGCCAACATAGTGAAACAGCACACAGTTAACCCTTTGATCGCCCCAGATGTTAACCCCTTCCTGCCCAGTGCCATTAGTACAGTGTCAGTGCTTTTTATTAGCACTGTTCACTGTATTGGTGTCACTGGAGCTATCAGTGATGCCAAGTCAGTTCGCCCCAGTGTCGAGTGCCTGCCGCAGTCCCGCAATAAGTTGCTGATTGCTGCCATTACTAGTAAAGAAAAAAAATTCATGTATTTATACCGCCATTTGTAAACACTATAACTTTCACGTAAACCAATTAATTTGCACGTATTAGGATTTTGTTTAGCAAAGACATGTAACAGAATACATTTTGGCCAAAATTTCTTATGAAATTTGATTTTTAAATTTTTTTTACTGGAACAAAAGTCAAAATATTGTTTTTTTTCTCAAAATTGTCGGTCTTTTTTTTTTTATAACACAAAAAATAAAAAACAAACAAGCGATCAAGTACCACCAAAAGAAAGCTCTATTTGTGGTAAAAAAAGTATGTAAATTTCATTTGGGTGCAACATTGCATGACTGCGCAATTGTCAGTTAAAGTAACGCAGCGCGGTATCGCAAAAAATGGCCTGGTCATAAAGGGGGGTAAATCCTCCGGAGGGCAAATGGTTAATCCAGCAATTGTAAATATTTTTTCAGTATATCTCTTATATAATGTTAACCTGCAACATTTTTTTTTTACCAGCCCTCCAGCAACATTATTCACGGGAGAGTCATTAATTTTAATGAAATACACAGTATATATTATAAATAAAAATAAAGAAATTACCCAGCACCACTAAACAAGTCTTAGTTGGAAAGAAAAGGAAACAACTATACTATTCTGTTGATGGATCATGTTGAGGAACAATTAACTAAAATAGCGCATAATTTTTACTTGAAAGGTAATGAACAAGATACTTTATTAGCTATTAAGCTCTGAAACCTTAACAGAATTTAAATCCTCTCAAACTTCACACAAATTCCATCCTAGACATCTTTCATCGTAACTTCTCCAGCCTAGTTTCCTGTTGCCTTGGCCGATTAACTCTTTGGCCACTATGGTCTACCTACCTTAACACATTCTCAAAAAGAGGTATCTGAGACACTGATCAAAACGATAGAAACTGGCTATGAAAGCACTTACAGTAGGAATTTAAAATAGTGCTCGCTCGCAAGCCCTGCTCTATGCATCCCTAAGACACATAGAGTCGCAACTCGGCCCCACCCCCTGCTCTCTCCTTATTGGCTCACTGGCTGTGCTGTGTCTCAGCCATAAGGAGAGAAAGACCAGGGACAGATGAGGCTCACATGCACATCGCTAGAACAAGAGAGGGGTTCAGGTGAGTATAAAGGAGGGGAACGTAGGGGAACAGCACACAGAAGGTTTTTCTTACCTTCATGCATTGCATTCATGAAGATAAAAAAACCTTCAGCCTTTACAACTACTTTAATAATAAAAATCATAATGCAAAAAAAATAAAAAAAAAACAGGATAAGATGGCTTTACAAGCCTATAGGAAATTCACTGAACTCATAAACATGGCAGGATCTAGGGGGGTGATGGGGTGGGCTATGCCCCCCCAGATATCAGTTGTGCCCGCCCAGGCAACCTGTGGACAATGTCCATCAATTGAAGCTGTGTGCGGCGGCTGGCTGCATCTATCAAGTGTACTGTCTGTGAGAGCCCAGCAGCACACTTCCCCTTCCCTTCCCTGCATGGACAGGATAGTAGAGATCAATGTGCACCTCCTGCTCCTCCCACCCCTATCCTCGTGTCTGCCCCACCCACACTGCAATTCCCGGCCAGGGCTGTACTTGAGAAGATATGTGGGCAGGAAACTTGAAACACTGCAGCTGGCAACTACATGGTGGCTGCAAGACTGAAGCCTCTGCCTGAGCCACCAGACCAGCATGGGGTATGTGAGCAGAATTCTCCCTTTCTCTCCCCCCCCCGTTTATGTCCCAGTCAGCACTTAGGGACAACTTTAGTACTGTTGGGTATGGCTGGCAATCTGCTAGTTGGCTAAACTGCTGGGGTATTAACTCACAGGTTTGTGATGCTTCTGTTTTAACACCTTCCTGCCCATCCCCAGCACGGCTTTAGGGGCCTGTTTACATGAGCTTTGGTTTTGAAGAGCGATCTGCATTCAGATCGCTCTTCAGAGAGCATTTGGTAGGCAGTGAGGTGTTTGAGAAATGAATAAAATGCTACTGCATTTATGGGTATAATCAATAGTAACATATAACCATTTGCAGCAGTCCTAATTGAGAATTAATGCACACAACATCATAAGTGAATACCATATGGACCATGCATAAAAAGTGCAAAATATGAATATCTTTGTGACAGTATATGGAAAACAATATTGATACTGATATTAAGCACTTGCCCTCCTGAGGATTTACCCCCCTTAATGAGCAGGCCTCTTTTTGCTGCTCGGCGCTGCACTAATTCAACTGATAATTGCGCGGTCATCCAACGCTGCTTCCAAACGAAATGTACGTCCTTTTTTTCATACAAATAGAGCTTTCTTTCGGTGGTATTTGATCCCTGTGCGCTTTTTATTTTTCACGCTATAAACAAAAAAAGACCCAAAATTTTGAAGCTATAAGAAATATATAGTAAACTCAGTTATAGTAAAGTAAACAAAGTCAGTTATAAATTTAGGCCAAAATGTATTCTGCTACACGTTTTTGGAAAAAAAAAATCCCAATAAGTGTATATTGATTGCTTTGTGTGAAAGTTATAGCATCTACAAACTATGGTATAGATACTGCAATTTACGCCATTTTTTTGCTATACAGCGCTGTGCTAGTTTAACAGACAATTGCGCGGTCATGCAATACAGTACATAAATGAAATTTACATCCTTTTTTTTCCCACAAATTGAGCTTTCTTTCGGTGGTATTTGATTGCCTGTGCATTTTTTATTTTTTTGCGCTATAAAAAAAAAGGCTGACAATTTTGAGGAAAAAAAACAATATTTTGGACTTTTTGCTATAAAACATGTCCAGTAAAAAAAAAATTTTAAAAATCAAATTTAGTCATAAATTTCTGCCAAAATGCATTCTGCGACACGTTTTTGCTACAAAAAACCCCAATACGTGTAAATTAATTGGTTTACGTGAAAGTTATAGCATTTGCAAATGGTGGGAAAGATACTGGGATTTTTTTTTTTTTTTTATAGTAATAATGGCGGCGATCAGCGACTTATGGCGGCGATCAGGGACTTATGGCGGCGATCAGGCGACTTATGGCGGGACTGCGGTGGACATTCTGACACTGGGGGGAACTGACTTGGGGTCACTGACATCCCCAGTGACACCAATACAGTGATCAGTGCAAAAAAAAAAACACTGACACTGTACTAATGGCACTGGGGAGGAAGGGGTTAACTTTATTATTCAGTGAAAGGGTTAACTGTGTGAGGGGAGTGTTTTACTAGGGGATGAGGGTGTGTACTGCACGGAGACACACTGAACTGATCCGGACAGATAAACTCTTATGTCCCGATCAGCGTGTCAGGAGCTGTCAGGGAACTGACAGAAAGCACAGCTACTGCAGCTGTGCTCTCATTCACTGATTGCCGCTAATCGCTGGGACATAGCCGGTGTCGACTGGCTGTGACCCGGCGACTGACATCCACGGCCGTGATCAGCGGGACAGGTAGGGCAGCGGCGCGCCCCTTACCTGTTTTGAAAACACACGTTTTAAAATGTGTGCTTTTGCCCAGCCGTGTCGCCCTGCTGCCGTATTTCTACAGTGGCTGGGCGGCATGTGGTTAATAATTCAGTCCCAATAAGTGAAAACAAAGTGCAAAGTGCTAAAATTCTTGATTGTGAACTCCGTGTACAATAACAGGTGCTCCACTGTGCTCAGACTGGTGCCCCACATGGACTGACACGCACCGTAATCCCGTGACTACCTTTCTCTAGGATGGTTGTCTGCGCTTTTGGGACTATCCCAGTATGCAGTGTTGCTGATGGTAACCGGTTGTTCCTCCAAAAGTGCTGTATCAATACCAACCCTCTCCTCTCCTCCACAGGTAAAATAAGCAAGTACTCGGCATGTATAAAAAAAAACAAAAATAGACATCCCATAGTGTAAAACCACTTTTACTTAAATAGTGTATAGTATAGTAACATAACTGTAAGTATTGAACTCACAAAAGAAGTGCCCATAACCTGTCACCTGGTATATTCAGCCTTGTTGCTTGTGTGATGAAAAAATGGCCACTGCTATGGCGGTTAATCCTACAGGCGGTGTGGTTCCAGAAGGTGGAAGTGACGTTGGTGGAAGTTGCGTCATCAAACCTTGATCGTTTTGATCAAGGATCGTCTTCAGGAAGTGCAAATTCTGAATTCTGCTATTTTGGAGATGGTATTTATACCCTGCAGTCACTCAGCCAGTTACTTAGTCAAGCTACAGCTGTGTCGATTCTCAACAAATGGGAGGAGGGAGATTTATGGTGAGACATGGCCTGACCTACTTATCTACCAAAGATATATTAATGATATCTTGATGGTTTGGAGATGCACTAGAGATGTTCATTTCCCATATTAATTCCAACAAATATAGAATTAGGTTTACTGTGAAAATCCAACAAAACAATATAGATTTTCTGGATCTCACTTTATTTAAACATAACAACACTCTGGGGACTAAAACATTCTTTAAGAGTACGGATAGGAACGGATATATACCAATTAAGAGCTGTCACCACCCAAATTGGAAAAAGGCCATACCAAAAGGGCAGTTTACGAGGATAAAAAGGAACTGTTTGTTACAGGATGATTATGTCAGGCAACCAGATATACTCAGACAGATTCAAAGGGTTACAACTCAAAGGAGCTTAGTAAAGAACGAGAGGTTTTCTTGATAGACAACATCTATTGCAAAAACAACATAAAACATCAACAAAAAGAGGGGAGTTAGCCTATATTACAGGGTTTAATAAACAGTATAAAGAAGTGGAGAGATGCTTTAGGAAGCACTGGCCTATCCTGTGTAAAGAACTAAACCATTGTTTGTATATAGGAGAGCTCCTGCCCTTAGAACCAAGCTGGTACGTAATATTCCCAACCCCGCCCAAAAAAAACTCTCCTTTTTCCAAGAAGGGGTATTCTATAGATGTGGTAAATGTGGCACATGTAAACACACTCAAAAGATGCCAAAGAAAATTACCACATTTATGTCCCACCAGACCTATAAACAATATAACATCAAACCATTCATTACCCGCCAGACCAAATTTGTGACCTATATGTTGCAGTGCACCTGTGGGTACCAATGTATAGCGAGAACTACTCGTAAACTCACCAAAAGAATTAGTGAACACATTGCTAACATCAGGAAAGGTTACCCAAAACATAGCGTATCAAATCACTTTAAGGTGGTACATAATAAGGATCCATCACATCTTTCCTTTTTTGCCATAGATAGAATAGAGAGACACTGGAGGGGATCACATATGATTAGAGAGATCTCTAAAAACGAAACACAGTAGATTTATGAGCTCCAGACTTTGATGCCAGAAGGGTTAAATGTGGAGATAGATTTCAATAGTTTTTTGACTAATTTTTAGGGAGTATGGATTAAGTTCCATTATTTTTACTAATAATAATTATTTTATGCAATATTATTTATACGCCATGTTAATTTATTGTAATTTTATGTTTAGTCATTTTTAGGGGACTATTCACTTTTAAGAGAGCTATTGTTCTATACAATAAGATCATATTGTTCATTGCTCTTTGGCATTGTACTTTTAATATTAATTTGTTATCTCAGTTGTATCTGACGATTACTGATAGTATTCAGCAATGTTGCAGTCCGATATAGTCATTATTTAAGCTAAAATCAGTGACACAGCTGCCGCTTGACTAAGCAATTTTCTGAGTGACTGCAGGGTATAAATACCATCTCCAAAATGGCAGAATTTGCACTTTCTGAAGACGATCCTTGATTGAAACACATCGAGGTTTGATGACGCAACTTCCACCAACGTCACTTCCGACCTTTGGAACTCATGCCGCCTGGAGTATTAACCACCATAGCGGTGGTCATTTTTTCATCACACAAGCAACAAGGCTGAATACATCAGGTGACAGATTATGGGCACTTCTTTTGTGAGTTCAACACTTACAGTTATGTGCCCACTATTAAAGTAAAAGCGGTTTTACACTATGGGATGTCTATTTTGTTTTTTTATACATGTTGAGTACTTGCTTATTTTACCTGTGGAGGAGAGGAAAGAGTTGGTATTGATACAGCACTTTTGGAGAAACAACCGGTTACCATCAGCAACACTGCATACTGGGATAGTTCCAAAAGCGCAAACGGCCATCCTAGAGATAGGTGGTCACGGGATGAAGGTGAGTGTCAGTCCATGTGGGGCACCAGTCTGAACACAGTGGAGCGCCTGTTATTGTACACGGAGTTCACAATCAAGAATTTTTGCACTTTGCACCTTGTTTTCACTTATTGGGACTAAATCATTAATATCAGTATCAATATTGTTTTCCATATATTGTCACAAAGATATTCATATTTTGCACTTTTTATGTGTGGTCCATATGGTATTCACTTAGTGAGGAAGTGCTGCAACACAGTTGTGGGGTGCTCACAGAGGTGCTCCATTCACTTGAATGGGTCATGTTCAGGAGGCACTGTGACCACAAAATGCAACAGATTATATAATTCTTGCCGCAGCCACAAAGCAATTGCCAACCATCCATAAATTTATAGACAGTTTAAAAACAGGCACTTTTCTCTTGTCCATAAATGTTCAGGAGAAAAGTACCCATAAAAAAATCCTTGCCATGGGCTCTGAACTGTGCATGCACAGTACCGCAGCCAGCCAAACAGAGAACTGGGTGTGCACCTGTGCAGTGACATCATGGCACTTTTTAGGCTTGGCTTATATTCACACACTCCACCACACAAGTTGAGGCTGAGCCTAGCAGTTCACTGATTGGCTTGCTTTAGAACTGTGCATGCACAGTTCAGAGAGCCAACAACAAGGGCATTTTTTGTAAGCCTTTTCCTGCCAACTTGCCACCAGTGGTTATATAAGTATATTTAAAGGGGTCACTCCGCCAGACTCTGATGTAAGAAGGGGACTCTGAGAGACTCTGAAGTTAGGGCCACTCTGCAGATTCTGATGTAAGGGGACACTCTGACTGACTCTGATGTAAGGTGGTGGCACTTTGGGGACACTGATGTGAACCTGGCACTCATCCTAACTGCTGCACTCCATATATTGTTTTCTTTATTATTTAACACCTGACCCCTGTACGTAATGCATTGATATACAGTGTATAGACATGACCAAGGTGTTCAGTGTCTCAACAGTTCATGGTTTTAATGAAATTATTCCTTATGGTAGGCTCAGTAAGCCTGTCTATGCATTAGTCATTTTTTGTTCAAAACAAAAAACTACTAGATTCCCACATCCACACTTTCGACGTGGATGGGGAAATCACTCCTGCTGGGGTATTGTGTTCTGACAGCAGAGAGACTTCAGAATACACTGATAAATGCTGACAGCTATAACTGGCGGTGCTGATTGTGTGGACCTTTTCCTAGAGGCTGGTTGTACAGAAGTCGATCAGTACACTGCCCTACAAACTGCTGATTCCTGCCCTCGGCTGTGCTAACCCCTATCCTCTGACTTGTTGATCCCTAGTACACTCTACTATTGATTCCTGTTTTGTATACTGCCCTGCTGACCTCATATCCTCTGCCCCCCTGACATTTATTACTGCACCCCCAAGAAGGAGACTCAAAGGCCTTTCTTATACAGTCAGGTCCATAAATATTGGGACATCGACACAATTCTAACATTTTTGTCTCTATACACCGCCACAATGGATTTGAAATGAAACAAACAAGATGTGCTTTAACTACAGACTGTCAGCTTTAATTTGAGGGTATTTACATCCAAATCAGGTGAACGGTTTAGGAATTACAACAGTTTGCATATGTGCGCCCCACTTGTTCAGGGACCAAAGGTAATGGGACAATTGGCTTCTCAGCTGTTCTATGGCCAGGTGTGTGTTATTCCCTCATTATCTCAAATTACAATGAGCAGATAAAAGGTCCAGAGTTCATTTCAAGTGTGCTATTTGGAATCTGTTGCTGTCAACTCTCAAGATGAGATCCAAAGAGCTGCCACTATCAGTGAAGCAAGCCATCATTAGGCTGAAAAAACAAAACAAACCCATCAGAGAGATAGCAAAAACATTAGGCGTGGCCAAAACAATTGTTTTGGAACATTATTAAAAAGAAAGAACGCACAGGTGAGCTCAGCAACACCAAAAGACCCGGAAGACCATGGAAAA